CCAACCACTTGCTTGACTATATCCAGGCGCGCTATTTGCGCTGCGCTCTCGCATTTCTGCTTGTTTTCTACCGCCGAGTGCGTGTTTCACTGCGGGGCAGCGGTTCAAACGGCACCCGGCAAAAACTTCCCTTACCTTTTTTTCTTCTTCCATTCAGAATTGCAGTGACATTCATAGAAGCAAATATGGACCTAACCTGGTCGAAAAACTCCCTATCCTTGTCGCATTCAGAGAAACATGACTTCTTGCTACGTTGTCGTCTTATTTACAGCGAATTAAGTTGTCAGGAATTCCCGAGTCGACGAGGTACCACATTCCACCGTGAGGAGGTAAAGCAAAGGCAGTGATTGAGTAACGTTGCCAGTAATTTGCTCACTGCTGACTCCAGTATATAGGACCCCACCCCCTCCTAGCAGGCCTTATAGGGTCCCCACATCGAATTCATTCATGAAGGTTCTTTGTGATAACTGTGCAGTCCCGGAAATACAATTTATTTGTATCCGAGGGGGTAGTTCGTGATATCAATGACGGAAATTAGGGAAACGGTGTTCTCTGCTCAGTTGCTATTTACTAGTTTCGCTGGAACGTAGGTAATCTAGTGAACAGTGACCTGCCTAAGCGCAGATTCGTTTGAGAGGAAAGCACTGACTTGTACACCGGTTGGTCTCCGCAAGTCACCAGGTCATATTGCATCAAATAAGCCGCTACGTGTCCGAATTTATGCAGAATACATGCCGCATGCGTGCCTGAACCCTTGCCTTGCCGAATCAGAACCAAGTAGCTGTTTAGAACAACGGAAACATCTGCATCACCTGCGCTTCCATTTTAGTTCCCGAGCGTATGCCTGTAGCGACATAGTAATGGGGATGCTCGGGTGGAACCAAAGAACGATTTTTTACCCGGGGATATCGGAACACCTTTCACCGCAAAGCCTTCTTCTTTCTTATTTCGTTGTTTTCCTTTTCTTGTTATCGTGATACCCTTATCGTGATACAGTGAGTTGGAATAAGTGTTGATCTTTGGGACATAGTCAGGACGAGCTGGTACAGTCGGTGAGGAATGGGATGGGGCGCGGGGCGAATCGTTGTTTCAAGCATGAAAAAAAGATCGAGAAGTCATGTAATCCCCGTTCCAACTACACTGACAACAACTTCACTTCAATCACCAGAATGCACTTGGAAATAAAAATTAAAAAAAAATAAATTCCATTTGTTGCCTAAC